GAACACCCACGGAAGGGCCATTCATACTTACACCGGATGTGCAGTAATGTACTAAATGACATCATGACGAAATAAATGACGTAAACGGCGCGGACACGAAAACGATCATAAAAACATAACGATATTATATGGGAGGCTAACCCTATATAGCGGATGGGAGTTATTCAAACTGGTTCCCAAGCACAAAGTAAGAGCCTATGGAATTGAGGCAAACGAACCTGCTAGACTGACGATCACTTGACCGAGGGCATTGTTCTCGGAGAGTCGATCGTAATCCCAAACTGAGAACTCCAGGAACAGTGATGCCAGCGCTAACGGTGACACTTGCCATTCAACGATCTGATTCCATTCGGGATTCGTCGAACATGGAACGAATCGGGTTCGCCGTTTGTTGGACACCCTGAACAGAAATATTATGTGTAAATCAGGGCCGGTAGTGATAAGCCAGTGTCTGATGTCCTAATAGTACATATAAGCCTATGTCACCGAATTCGTCGCCGGCTCAAACATCCAAAGCTTGGTCTAATAGACAAAATCTTCTTCAAAACATGCGTTGGGTTCGACTTGAAAGCCCAATTCACGAGAAAAATAGTTTTTGAGATTTCTTCTTACGATGAGTCTGCGACCCCCAAGGATAGCACAAGGGACGCTGTCGGATTGAAAAACGGCCAAGATAGAGCACAAAAAAGGTGCCAAACCGGCTCAGTCGACGTACACAGCCATAGGTGGACGAGTCCCCACGGCGTTGTAGAGGCTGTAGAGGTTGCCCCATTCGCACAGGGACGCACGCTTTGCTCAGAATTAAATTACTGTAGCTATCGTACGTAATGGCACACATATTTGAACAGCACATCCGAATACCAACCACTTCGTCACATCATCGGCCAACCCCGAATTAAACTTTTTTGAAGCATTACATTTCTATGAATATGCCAATTGCCGCATTTTCTTTTTTCCATTAACCTGGTCTATAACTTCCAACGCTTGTCTAAAACTAAACACCCCATAATTGCCGTAAATTTGGGCCTTCAAACTTATGGAAAAACTACTGAAAAGGTTCCAACCGGTAGGCTACGTAACCACGTTGCTTCGTTGCTATAGAAAAGACCCATAGTAGACCCATAAGCGTAAACCTCAAAAAGCACATGTAATTCACCTCAGACAATACTGGTCCTGCTGGTAGCGGGTTGAGAAACCTTCACTTTTTGATTCCTGGTCACAAAATGGGAGCGCTTGTAGGATAGCCAGGAAACATGGAGAAGGGAAGGTAATCAGTGCCCGAGATACTATCCGCAACTTGAGACTCCTTGGAAACTTCCAAGCACACGCTCTAGTGGGATCACTCTAACAAAAACAAAGGGTCGTGTTTGGGTATGACACCATGCTATCAAGAAGAAACCTAATGCACAATGCTAAATCACTTACTTTCGGCCGGGAAGGAGGTAAATCTTGACGAACGGGTTTGGAGCAAGTCGTCGAGTATGATCACGCATTTTTAGACCGCGAGCTGCGATGATTCTGACGATCACTCGAGATGTGGCTTGATCATACGTAACAGCCACTTGAAGGTAACCGAGAGAGTCCTGAATTTATCGACTGGGAAACACTATAACACTGAATTTAGGATAGTATTTTTGACGCCGATAAACCCGATGTTGGAACTTCCCTTTTGGGATTATATCGGTGTTGGATACAATTTCTCCCAAGCAATTACTTATATGGGCCAACCAATGTAATAGCCCGTTCGTTTACATGCTCTGATGAGAATGGGCTTTAGGGACTGAAAACCAACCCTGGAAAAAGGACGGGGTGAGGGTGCGGAAGAGTTTCTGACCTGGACTCGATTCCTCAACAATACGTTAGGTAGCGATCTACTTGGCCAACCCCTATCCCCATTTCCGTCTACTGGGGAAGACTATTTGTTTTTTTTCTAATGGTAATAATTACCACTGATAATTACCATTGATTACTGACGAATATAAGCAATTATTATCAACAATAGCGTAATGTACCTGCGGCTTGTTCTGCCAAACATCGTCGGCTATATCTGTGCTATCAACATTGTCATAGATGCGATTGGAAGGATTCTGACGACCGTAGCTCACTGGCTCACTACCGTTTCCTCGATGAATCGGAACTGGAGGTGCACGATCTGGTGAAGCATCTGAAAGCACCGCTATTGCCAGAAAAACACAAGTGTGCTCCTAGCTAGCTTCGAACTAATCGATACCTTTGATCCTCAGGATCTTCTGCGACGAATCAGCCACATTGGAGCAACGTTGTGGATCTCGAGGTGAACAGTACTTCCGTAGGTTGGAGATACGTTGAGACTTCTCTCCCTCCCTAAATAAGCGGAAAATCGGAAATTCCAGGAAATTCTGCACGAAAGCGGGGTAGTACTCAGCAGCACTCACGATTTCAGTATAATTTCGACTTCACCACTGCTGGAATTCACAATTCTTTCCACTTC